TATATATAGAGAGAGAGAGAGAGCCATATCAGACGCTGTGACTCGTGATTTGGGACAGGGCCGGCTTTCCAGGTTCGGCGGAGTGAGGTGTTTCTATGTCTTTGGAGACGAGGGGTTGGGGCGGAGATTTGACTATTTGTAGAACCTTTTAGGGTTTTATGATGATGAAAAACAAGCAGGGAGTTGATCGAAGATCTTAGGGTGTAGGACGAGAGCTGTTGGAGTCCATGGCCGCCACAGGGAACTCGAAACACATCAGCAAGAGCAGGACAAGAGCAGGCTCTTGACACCCCGTTTGCCCAAGCGAAAGGGCCAAGCAGCAGAACGATCAGCGCCACAGAGCACCTCACTGCCGGGAAGCAAAGTGTTGTGGTCTCGGTGCAAGGGCATGTGTTCCAATCCAAGCAGGGACTTCCATGTTTAGGGGCTTAGGGTTTAGGGGGGGCGGAATGTGAGGAGTCTGCTGATGCCCATGATCAGGATTTAGAAACGCAACTCTGTCCAAGCCGAGGCACGGCCAGAGTGTACCCTGATTCACAAGCATCGCGTCAAGGGTGACATGGAGAAGCTGCACAAAGCCCACAACAGCCTTCCGAGTGCAAAGGACTTGTACTACGTGGATTGACAGCTTCGAAGTATATGCTACAGGGTAGGCAGTCTCCAGAATCATAGAACGGATTATCTCGGCCTGAGCTGTACATTCTTGCCAGCACCACCGTGGGTATGCGACGCGCAAACAAAAACCATTATCACATCCGTCATCAGCAAAAGCAATCACGCCATCAGAACCAGCCCCCAGCAACGAGACCATCAGCATCTGCAGGATCAAGTTGCATATGTGCATGAATGCACACGCATGCATGGCATATGCACGCATGCATGGCATATGCCGTGTATGCGTGCAAATATGTTGATATCCAAAGGCATATCGACAAAAAACATATCAGAACAGCATACATACCAGTAGCCACCCATCCATCTACCGAAATGTCGATAGTTACATAGGTCTGAATGAGGTTCACATGTCATGGTAGAAGCACTATGCGACGACATATACGTGATTCAGGCTAAGATCTGCATGTGTGCACAAAACAAACACGTGCAAACAAGAAGCAGATACGTGCTGAGCACGGGGCGAGCTCCATCAATATGCAGTGATGAACTGCCCCCGAGGTTCCATGTAGTATATGTACATATATACACACACACACACAAATGTAAGTAAATATGTGTGTATATATATATATGCATATATATATACACACATAAATTACATATATATATATAATAGATATGTACTTTGGAATTGAAGAAATCCCCAGATGGGTACTTCAGGGCCAAAGTATACCTAGATTAGCACAGGGACCCTCAGGGCTGATCCGGGCCTGCGTCGACTGGGAGGGTGAGAGCAGCCATGGGGAGGCAATCAGTGCAGCGGCGGTCCTTGGCATCGCTTTGGTATGTGCCGGGTTACTGACATACTGGCTACCGTCCACTGAGAAAAAAACGAAAAGTCATTCCAAGCGTCTGAAACGCCATCACCTTAGTTCGGTGCTTGGGGTCCTCAGAGAGGAATGTTGGTTACTGGGTTTCTGTGCACAGGGCAATATTCGTTTCAAGTTTACAAGCTTCCTTTACGAGATTCACTAGTCGGAGCCGTACTTCAAGGTCCCCTGAACCACATGAAAAGTACCGCCACTTTGAAAACGCCCACAAAGGCCAGTGCATTCCTGAGTGCCCGGCTGCACGCAGCACAGGCACCTGAAAGCTATGGTATGAATGGTTTTTAGGGTTTAGGCTGTTGTTTTCCGAATCTACGGGTTGGGCGTAGACACGGACGGGTCGATTGCAAAAGTTGCCTCGTCACATAGAACACGATGTCCCTTTTCACCGATGAGCTTCAGAGATCTTTCTTCGATTATCGAGTTGCAGTCCCTGACACGGAAATGAGTAGCGGTGTTCCCTACAAGTTCGCGTTACCATATCTCGGAGCGACAGGTTGGCCTTAGTGTTGAGTTTAGGGTCCCCAGCTTCACATGGCGGATCTGTTCAGAAGTACCTCTATCGTTTGGATCTGAGTGTCCGTGGTATCGTAGTTTACACGGGCTCTTGTGTATGGACTATGACTTCTCCACGGATACCCACAACAGACCTCCTGATCGAGTAGGATTGTCCGGATGAGTTCTTCACGTCACCACTGCGTTTGGTTTGGGGTGTTTAGGTCCCTCAGTGCGCTCGGGAGTATAGCCCTCCATTTTCACCCACCAAACATTCAAACACCATTGTAGACCCCACAATAATGAACCATCTCCTGCAAAAGGATGGCAATTCTGGGGGTTTGCAAGAGGAATCAGAATATCGGGGCTATTGGACCCTATAACGAAAGGTGACTATTAATCACTGCTCCGAACCATCCTTCAGTAGTCCCGGCCACTGGAGCAAGCTGCAAAGGCCAGGTGGAGGGGAGCGGGAAGGCCTGTGACGGGTTTCCGTTTCGGCCTAGAGGCTGAGGATTTCGGAAGTCTGGCCTCTCGGGTCTACAGGGTGTAAATTAGCATCCGGGAGATCTAATTACATTTGGGGCCCCGTGACGGCCTTCTCGACTTAGTTTGAGAATTGTACAGGATTCGAGTTTGGAACAATTGTGACTTCAGATGGTTAGCTTGCTTTGCTTATGCGTCGAAGGGAGCCGGGTGTCTATGTGGGTTTGCAGGAGGGGGATCGGATAGTGCGGTGGATAGCGTGCTCGGGAAGCACTCTTGCCGTCATGAAAGAGCAGCGCAACATGAAGTGCAAAGATTTAAAGGATGGATCCTGCTACTTTTTGCTGCGTCGCCCTTCTGAAAGTCCCGCACCTCCAGCTGGTAGGCTGCCTGCCTTTGGTCGCGAACTTGTGCACTGTTGGTTACGGCAGTCGGGGAACATGCAGGAGGTAGGTGTTTTCGTTACTTCTGCGATGTAGCCGCTGCAGGGCATGAGGACCATGACACACTGAAAAGGACACCGCCTACTGAAGGATCGTGAAAGTCTTACCAATTTACACAGGTATGAGCTCAACATATCAATCAAGAAGGCCCCGCAAGGTCATCCCAAACACTCACACAACCTTCGGGCGCTTGGGTGGTGCTTACTTGTATACTACAGCCAGTCACCCAGTCCGGCAGAAACCAAACCCCAGAATAGCTCCCCACGGTTGTCAAGCAAGCTCAGCTTCCTTACATGAGCCTATGGCCGAATATGTAACATGCTGTGTATCATATGCTACACACGATAATATGTGTGTATATATGTATATACATACATTATAAAATATGTTATGAGAGTGGCAATTCTCACCGGGAGCTGCGAGCAGGTTGTGGTTCAGTAGAAGAGTTGAAGCAAAGCACCAGTGGCACTGCGCAAAGCTGCAAAGGTTTATTAGGCTCTTTTCATCCAGGGCGCAAGGCTGTAAAGCTGCGCCATACGTCGCAACTGCCCGACATCTTCTTGAACTGCAGCATGTTTAGGGTTTAGGGCTTAGGGTTCCTAAACCCTAAACCCCAAACCCTAAAGTGCAAACTTGCATCTTTTTTCGGCTTAGGGTGTAGAGGCTGCTAGAAACACTTAGAAACACCCGAAGGGATGGTGGCCTTAGGGTTTGGGTTTTAGGGTTTGGGGGTTCGGGGTTTGGGGTGTAGGGGTTTAGGGTGTAGGGGTTTGGGGTTTAGGGTTTAGGGTCTACAAATATCGCCTGACAGGCGACTGCCCTCAAACCATATATACCCTCAACCCTGAAACTGCGAAACCCGAAACCCGCACACAAAGGCCTCGAGCTTCGGAATCCTCAACCCGTAAGCCTCAACATCGAACTCCCTATGAGGTGGGATCAGAGTTCCGAAGGACCATCAAATGTCCACACAGACAGCGCAATCTGCAGCTTTTGGGCTAGGCTTTGGGATCCTTTCTGAAGGGCGAAGAGGCTCGAGGAATATACGCTGTTGCTTTTTGGCCAGGCGGGGTTAG